GTCGGCGTGAAGCGTCATTATCATCATCATCATCATCGTCAGTTGGAGCAACATCATCGTCATGATGATGATGATTGGCCATAGCCGTATCCACGTGCGAGTCAGCCCCAATCCCGGGCAGCCGCCTCATCCCGCCTGCATTAGAGCCACTTAAACGCATTTGCAAAATTGTCTGCCACCCACACAACAACAGCAACAGCAAAAACAACAAATGTGGCAGTGTTTTTGTTGTTGTTTTTGCCTAAAAGCGCGATAATTTTAAGCCACGAGGTGGTGTGCAAGAGGCGCGTGGGGGGGAGTTGGGGGAGGGTCTAGCGGCCAGCGGCTCACAGTTGTTGATGAGGTTATCACTTTGCGAAAAGTAAAGTGCATCCGTTTTTAGAATTGTCCGTCCGCGTAATCAAACTAAACTGGCGCAGAATCCATGTCCCTCCCTGCCCCTCAACCCCCTGCCCCTTTGCCAGTGATTCGTCTCTGGCGTTGATTGCAGTTTTTGGCCGTTGTTTTTGTTTTTTGCTGCATTAAGCGCATTTGATTGTGTCAATTGGCTCGCGCCTAGGCTCAAACCACAAAGCAAAAATCCAAAAAAAAAACAAAAAACACATGAAACAAAAAAGTATGGAATAAAGTAGCCGTGATCTAGTCGAGAGTGATCGACTTAGAGGCATCCATTGAAAATGTTTAACCATTTGATTAGTTGGATGTGAATAGTTATTTAGATTTGGACAAAGTGGTTCTCACTTCCCCCGATATCTTCCAGATGTTCCCATATATTTTATTTTATATTATTATGTGATTAAAAGAATATAATTTAAAGGTGTAATATAAATATAATCGACAAGCTAAACATAAATATTATATTCTGCATTCTGCATTTCAAAAGGCTTTAATAACTAAAATCAAGAATCTATTTTATTGCCGATCTCAATAAGTAAGTTGAGAAAATACATTAAAGACAAATATTGCTTTGGTGGATTTCAAAATACAAACTTTTTGGATATAATAATTATAAAGCTATTTTAATTTAAGTCCAAAATCAACTTTACTTTAAAGAGCAGATATCAACAAATATTTAATTTCAATTTCAAAATATATATCAAGAATAAGAATGCCATAGAGATATCTTCGATAGAGTTGGAAATTACTCTTTTTTTTTAAAAATGTTGAAAAAGAAAAACACTTCTTTTCTTTGGCTAACAACTAAATGAAAATCTTGTCGGTTCGGTTTCGTTGTTAACAACTTTGGGATGCCCTTTATTGAACCAATTTGTTTTAGGGTATACAAATCAGTTGTAGCTGTGGAATCTGTGGCCACTAAATTGAATTATGCGCCCGACTCAGCGGCTGCCACCCGCCGATCGTTGATTTTGCCTGCTGCAGTTGCTCCGACTGTGATCCGTGTCCAAGTGTCGCCAATTGTGCAACACGAGTCGTGCCAGAGCAAAGTATGGGCTGGGGGTGGTGCCGGCTGACGAAAGCCAACCCTTCAATTTGAATTTGTCTTCGGGGCGCCCGCATGTAGGAGGTCTGCACATATAGTAGAATATATATATATATATATATATATTTATATATATATTCTCGTATATTGCACTCTTGACAATTGCGTGGTTGGTGTTTTGTTTTATCATAAATATTTTGATTGAATTTTCTGTTTAATTAAAGCAAATTGCTTTTTGTGTGCATTTGCCAACGGGCTAACATCGGCCTGCATGTAGATTTCTCCTCCTTTTTTATTTCTCGATGTCAATTGTTTGCCGAGGAGAGCGGGGGGTCTCCAAGCTGATTAAGAGCAACTGAGACAAAGAGAGAGAGAGGGAAATATTCTTGGGAAAACTCGTATGGGAGCAAACAAGTCAAAAGGGAATGCGAATAGTTCGAACTTAAAACAAAAATCCTTTTATAAAACAAATTAGAAGGCTTTAGTCGAGAGAACTCGACTCGGAGTTACTCGAATAAAGCTATTAATTAATTAGATAATAGTTTGCTCAATAGGAAAATAACCCTTTTCTAACTAAACCCGATCTTGAGAAAATTTTTTATTTCAATTGGAAAATACATTTTGGTATTCTTAATTGATGTAAATGAAATTTTAGCATTTGATCAGTGTCAGAACATATTATTTTGAAAGCTATATCTTTACAATTGTGTCTTTTACTGCTATCACAAATCGATTTGTATCCATATTCGCCAATCAGTGTCGGTTTTAAATAAAATGAAAACATATAATCCAAACTTGAAGTCTCCAACTTATTTAGTTTCTAAAATCGGCTGGTTCTATATGAAAGTTCAGAGGAACTTAACTGATTAAGAATATATATGCAGCTGATGCTTCCTTCTTAATTACATAATTAGCAAAGCGTCACAATTTTTAATGGATACTTTCGAATATATCATTGATCTGATAATAATAATAAAATATGAATGATAAAATTTAGATAATAGCCGTCATTTTTTTCATATTCATAAATCAATCAATTTGAATTTTTTCCCAAATAAAAATATGAATTCAAATTTATTTATTCACCATAATTGAATCAATATATTTTTAGATTCTAATGCCACTTAACCCAACAAATATTTTCAAATATTTCAGTTAGCTTTGTTTTATTGGCTGTCGTATTTTTTTGCAGAACACTCGCGTTGACAAACCGAGTGCCCCCATTTCCCCCCAGTTGATGGAGCACTAAAAATATTTCCAATTTCGATAGTCAATTCGATCAGCCAATCAATAAACATGGCAACTAACCTCCAACTATGCCCAATGGGCATTTGTACGATAATTCTATTTGCTAATTTAAATATGCCGAATTGTATATTTATATGTATAGATATATATATAAATATATATATATGTATATATATATATATATATATGTATTTCGCCACTCCGCGCCAGACAGAGCCACCCCTGCCACCAGCTCCAACCCTAATTGAGTTGAACGAATTGAAAAACGAATCGAAACTTGACGATGACAACAAAAGCTGAACTGAACTCGCCACCAGTGTAGTCCACACATATATATATATATATATATATATATATATATATATATGTATATATGTGCATGAGCAACCCCACGACTCGGCACCCACTCAATTGAGGCAAAACTCCAGTCGAGTTTTGGGGTACGAGTGGAGCGCATGGCGTTTGCATGGCTGCCAATTAATTTGCGGTTGATCAATTCAATTTGAAGCTGTGCCCGTTTTTTTTCTCCTCCTCTCTCCCTCTCTCTACCACTCTCTACCACTCTCTCTTTTCTTTTGCAAGGAAGTATTGCACAGAGGTACCGCCAGCCGGTAGAGCGATGGGGCTTTAATTTGTAGCCGCATTTCGGATTCGTTTGCCAAATTATTGGCCATTGATTTTGTGCTCGTTCTGCCCCTTTCCAGCAACTGTCTAGGATTCAACTCTGCCTCTCTCTCTCTCTCTCTCTCTCTCTCTCTCTGTCTCTGTCTGGGGAACCGCAGTACTCGTCACTCTTTTTAATTATCATCAATTATTCAAACTGCATTTGGAGTGATCAACTTTGGGTCCGTCCTCAATTAAGCAGCGTGTTGAGCTGCAGTTGGCATCGTTGGAGTTGTAGATATTTCTTTGCCGTTCCCCATTTGTTCTTCAATACTCATTCCACATTTGAATCCTTTCCTTTTTTGTCTTGCTCAAATCCTTTTTACTGAAGTGCTCGAAAAATGTTTGTGCGATTTCTCACAGGAAAGGCATCAACACAAACACTTTTGGTGTGCCTCCTCAAATGAGTGGGAGCACTTAAGCAATTCACACACACACACACACACACACACACACACACACATATATATATATATATATATATATATATATGTTTATATGGGGTTGTACTTGAGAACACTTGAACAAGATTTTTATCACATCTGAACTCATTAAGAAATTTTTAATGCAAATTAAAAGCGTCTAAATAAATTATGCGCAAAATGCTTGTGCCTTGAATTGAATTGAAAAACGTTGCGAGCAAACTTTGCTTATATTCAGCTTAGAATTATATATATATTTGTATATATGTATGTATATATATGTGTGCTGATCTCTATTCTGTGATTATACAACAATAGCTTAGATCCTTTGAATCAGTTAACTGGCATTTAATTTGATTTTTTTTACTACTTTTTATTACAGCAGATCCTAAAACATATTCGTACAAATTTCTTAATCGATTTTCTGAAATTTCGATAATCCTTACATAGACAACTGAGCAAAATCTTCCTCCAACTCAAACCTAAAATATACAAAAAACTTTTGAATGCATTTTCAAAAATGTTGAAATATCTGGCAGCTAAACTCACAAAAAAAGGCATGGAATCAAAATCTGTCTCGAACTTAAAGTATTGTAAGATGATTGAAATATTGTTATGAAGATTTTATCACAGCAGAAAATTAAAACAAAGATTCCTTGATTAAAATAATTACGATAAATGAAGTAGTTTTCTAATAACTTTAGCACATCAGAAAGTTAAAAAAAATTTATTTGATTCAATTAACAATTTGCCTTATTCCTCATTTTAATAATAATGTTAAATACAATAAATACAATATAATAAAAATGAAATATATTTGAAGTAGGCTTAAGTCCTTTAAATCGTATGAAACAATTCTGAAGTTGTAGATTTTTATAGAATGAACATCATTAAGAACCACCTGTTAAAATTCACTTTTAACTCGATTTTCTCACGTTTTCAAAGATTGCTTTAGATACCATCTTAACTTTCTCTCGTTCTCCCTCTCTCTCTCTCTCTCTCTCTCTGCTTCTTAATTTTTTATAGACCATCATTTAGCATTATTCTCCTTACTTTTTACTCTAACTGTTCTACCAGTTTCCCAAGATTAGATCATATTTCGTATCCTTAAACTCCCCTATTCTCTTTCTCTTTCTGCCTGTCTCTGGTTTCCCCCAACATTCGCAATGCGAAGAGTAATTTTCCACTTTCTAAACAGTTTACACTGCTTATTTTATCCGACTTACCTTGTTACCGTCCGTGAAAATTTTGGCAGTAATTCTTCAAGCGTGTCACAGAAAAAAATCCTTTCGTGTGTCTCCTGCCTGACGTGGGTTGGAAGCCGCCGAACAAAGAGCAACTTTCGACGGCGTCTAAAAGGCGTTTAAAGTCTCAAAGCACTTGAAAAAGTGAAACTTTTTGCGAAGAGTCGAGACAGAGACAGAGAGAGGGAGAGAGAGTTCTGGTCTGTGAGTTGCGGTCGTGTGAACTTTAACGGTGCAACTAGTCAAAGTTTTCGAGTCACACTCAATCAAGGCTCAAATTTGGCACATAAGATTTTGAGTTTCGCAGAACACACACAACACACGCACTCGCACACACACGGACATAAACACACATACGCTGACACGCAGCTTGATTGCTTTGCGCTAATAGGGTTATTGTTTTCGTGTCTCTTCGCACACACACACACGCACGCACACACACAAACACAGACAAGCAGCGACGCGAGAGAAATTGCAATTGTTTGTTTCGTTTCGTCTTTGTAATCCACTCGTAGATTTGCCTACTGTTATACTGTTGGAATTGTTGTGTACCGAACGCGTGCAACGGTTGTTTGCGAATGATCTAACAGCCGACGCAGAGGCTGCGACGTTGTTTCTGTTTCTGTTTCTGTTGCTGCTGACGTCGTCGCCGCTGCTGCTGCTGGTGCTGCTGCTTGTGTCGTCGTCGTCGTCTAAAGATGGCCGCAACGGGGGTTGGGTTGGCTTCGGTGTTTCGGTGGGCTTTCGTGCCTGTGGCCGAGGCTGGCACTCATCTCGTTTTATAGTGGGCCCCCGAAGCGCCGCCCTTACTGCTTTCTGTGCACGCAAATATTTCCCTTTATTTTTGTGCGCACGCGCTGCGCTGCCAGCCAGCCAAAGCAGCGCCGCTATTGCCGGCCTGCTCGCACGCACGCCTCGCTCTGTCGCTCGCACGTAAGACAATTTTCTCCGTTAAGTTTTCATCTTTTGCGGCGCATTTTCATTGTGAAATTGAATTTTCGGCATGGGAACGTCCAGGACGTCAACAGCGACAACAGCGACGTCGACGTAGACGTAGACGTAGACGTTGCCTGCCTTCTAATTTCTCCACACGGCGGCGAGGCTACTTTATTTTATTACACACGACAGAGTGCAAGAGTGAGAGAGAGAGGGACAGAGAAGGAGAGAGTGTGTGTGCGTGTGCCAGAGAGAGAGAGAGAGAGAGAGCGCGCGAACAAAAGCATCTCACTCGCTGAAGCAGCCTTAAATTGGATTTTCATCGTTATGCTTGCCGTTAAGTGAGCGCGGGAAGAGCTTGCTTTGTGGTAAGAAAAGAACAGGCAGCGAGAGCGAGCGAGAGAGACAGAGCGAGAGAGGGAGAGTGAGGGCGAAGCTTTCATCCATTGTGCTTTGGGTGGTCCACTTTTGCAGTTGTTGTTGTTTTTGTGCCCTGACTAAAAGCGATTACTCACCGTTGGAATTTATTTGGCATATCATTTTTGACAACTCAATTTATTTTTATTAATTTGCAGCTGAGCAGCAGCGCTAACGGCGACGGTGACGTCGACGCTGACGTAGCAGCAGCAGTCTCGCTCCCTCTCTCTCTCTCTCTCTCTCTCTTTCTCACTCACTCGCACAGCTTCAATACAAATCCCGTGCAGAATATATATAAGTGAATTTCAGTTAATTTATTATCATGCATTATTGCCTTTATTGTTATTTGCTGACTTTGCTGCCACACACACACACTCTCTCTCTCTCTCTCTCTCTCTCTCTCTCTCTCTCGCTCGATGGTCGCCATGTTGGCACAGCCTGATCCATTTATTATTGTTTGCGATTGGGTCGTTGGCCACAATTACGAAATGAATTTGTTGCCTCAGCCATTTCCCTTGGTTCCCCCTTGGTTACCCCAACCCCTGTTCCCCACTTGAGTTTTGGGCGTTGTGCTTATCAGGAAACTATTTTCGTTTGCTTTCCCCCACCTTGACTCCCTCGACTTGCTCTTCTTCTTCTTCTTCTTCTCCATCTTTGGGGGCCTGCTGTCAGCCTTGCAAATTGGCGCGCTGATTTATGAGTTTGTCCATTGTAAGTTTTCTGCCCGTTTTTTTTTTGGTTTTAGTTTTATTAGTTTTTCATTTCATTTCGCTTTGTTTCACTTTATTTCATTTCATATCATTTTGTTTGCCTGCTTCATTTTTTCTCATCGTTTTAGTGGAATTACCTGCTTAATAATGGATGCCTTGGGTTCCTTTGCTTTCTTCTTCTTGCGGCAAATTGCAACTGCACTTTCCATGTAGAAAACGGGGGTGAGGTGGGGGCTGGTCTTGAAAATTGCTTTTCTTTTATTTTGCAGCTGAGAGATTTTCTTGGCGCTGGCAGAGTGCAAGCAAAAAATTGCTTTTTATATAACATATGTTGAAGTCTTTAAAAAGTTATTGATTTACTACTTCTAGTTTATCTCGGATCATACAAAATATTACAATTTTTTTAAATTTAATTAATCTATTTTTATTTATTTAATTATTTATCCTTATTTGTAAATTATTGCAAGTCACAAAAGAGTTAAACATAATTGGGCTAACAATAAAAGTGAATATATAAATATATTTATCATTTAGTAATAAATATTTATCATTTAGTAATTTCATTTTTATTAATAATTAATCATTTCAAATCATAATAAATAATTTTGATTTATTTATTTATTTAACGTCAACTAAAGTCATAGTAAATTAAAAATTAAACTTCAATTTAAGTTTATATTAAAAAATTGCAAATATTTATGAGATATTTATAAGATAACTTTCAGTGTTAAATGCAAATTTCCAAATAACTCATTTATATTATAATGCTAATAATTTCCGATCAATCATGATTTTTATTTATTTATTTAATAAGTCAACTAAAGTCAGACAAACCAAAAATATATTATATTATTTTAATTCAAAATTAAACTTCAAATTAAATATAAAATAAAAAATAAGAGATTCTTGTAAGAAATAATATATTAAAAAAAAAAAAATAAATATATTTACAAGAAATCCGGGAGTATTCAGTGCAAATTTCCAAATAACTTAACACCAGCAATATATTTTTGTAATAATTTCCGATCGGTTATCTATATTAATACTTAATCCACCACAATCAACACCATTTCACTTCGTTTCACTTCATTTTATTCCAACATTTTATGGCTTTGCTTGATAAAACTCGAACTAATCCAGAAGAAGAGCGCAAAAAGAAGCCGACAAATTGATAGAGAAGAAAGTTGCAGCGATTTCCATGCCGTTTCCCTGCCATAAACTGAGCTAGGCCCATAATTTGTAGAGGAAACCGGAACGGAATGGGAATGGAATGGTGCACATTTGCCGCGTCGCGTTTATTAAACGCAGAATGTGAATAATGTTTGTCTACAAATGGAAGGGAGAGGGGAACGAGAAGACAGACAGAGAGAGAGTGAGAGAGTGAGAGAGAGAGAGAGAGAGAGAGAGAGAGAAAGAGAGTAAGAGAGAGAGAGAGAGGTACGCCCAGCACTCAGTGTTGTTCCACTTCCACTTCCACTTCCATTTCCACTTGCACTTTGTGCGGAACTCTGGGTGAAATTTATGTAATTTATATGGGCACTTGACTGTCTAAATTGCCTGCGGAGAAAAGCAGCTACACGAACCACCCCCCCCTCCCCCCGCCCATCCCTTTGCACGCCCACTGCCCCCCTCGGTAAACTTGCTCGTTGCTTTGCTGCCACTTTTTATGTCATCTACTTAGCCCTAATGGCAAATAATTAATTTCATGCTTCCGCGTTTCGTGTCGCCGAGCAACGTTCGCTGCACATAAACTGCACACGCCCATCTACTGCCCAACGCCCACCGGCCCACCGCCCACCGTCCACTGGCCAGTCGACTGGTTGGCTGGTCTAACGGTAACGGTGAAGCACACGCCCCCCCAACGACCATTTTCAATTTACAAATTGCTTATTTTTTGGAAAAACACAAATTGCGAGTGCCTTGGACTTGACTTGGCCCGAAGCAGGCGCAAGCCAAGCCAAGCCGACAAACCAGCAACCGACTGGCAGTTAATGCATTTTACGTGCGGCCCTTGAAGCGAACTCCTCGAACACCCCACACCACATCCCTGCCCCCAACCACCCATCCACTGACTGCCTGCTTCTCAATTACGGTTATAAATTTTGCTCAGCCAAAATGGCGCAACACGAAATGAATAGCCTGCCTCTCTGCCTACAACGGTGCTCCACTCCAGCTCCTCCCTGCGCCCTCTGCCCCCTCCGCCCCACCTCACCACGCCCCTGCCGTACACACGCTGCGCAAAATGTTATTAACTTCTTTTAGCCAAGTTGAGCCAAATTACATTGCGGTTGCCACTCGGCAGTCACTTTTATTGAGCTGCTCAGTTATCCTTTGCTAAATTCGTCTGTCATTAGATGCTGCCCCATGCCACATGCCACAACCCCCCTTCCACTCTCTCTGGGGGCATCTTTATTTATGGTGCGACATTTCAGCAGCATTGCGAGGCATGAAAACAAAATTTATTGGCGCCATCAAATTGTTTTTGGGGCTACGCCTTTATTGAGTCCTATTGCCGCCCTATTTGCCCCCACCCCCTCACCCCACACACACCCCCACCCTTGTTGCCAGCCCCTTCAGCCTGTCATCGTAACGTGGTCCATTTGCCCGGACGGTGTTTTTGGCCACTTGGCCTTTTTTATGGCCAACGCATAATTTTGTTGAGAGCACTCTTTCCCCTCTCCGTCCCTTCTCTCTCACTCTCTCTTTCTCTTTGGTCTTGCATAAAACGCATAATAAAATAAATGACTAAACAGAATTACGATAAATACCCGAAAAACGTAAAAGACGTAAAGCCTTACGTCAAATTGCACTTGACGAGAAGCACAGGATAAATTCAGTTGCAAGTTTTGTGTTTATTTTCCCATCAAATTCCAAATTGCCAGGCTTAAAATAGAAGGATGCCAAATGCGAATGGGATAAGATAAGGTATGGGGATTATTTGATGTAAGTGCTCGGAGAAGGTGAATAAAAATATAGAGCTCAAATTATACACATAGATTTACATATAAATATATTAAATATTTTAAATATAAATATTTTAAATATAGCTAAATAGCATAAGGATACTCTATTTTAGACTTATTGTTCCTGTTCCTGTTCCAAATGATTTCGATATGTTCCATTTAACCACTTTCAGTTCCGGTTTCGTTTCTTAATTTCAGTTTGAAATTGAAAATAGTTCCTTTATTCATTTGATTTCATATTTTCAGCATTCAAAATAGAATTTTAGAATTTAATTAATATTTTTTATTTATTTGTATTTTACGATTTACATATTACCTGAATAAAAACTATTTAATTTGTTAAAAGAACAACTGGAAATAAGTTATAAACAAAGAAATAAATCAGTGAAAAGTTGTTGTTTTTGAGTTAAGTTTGTTTTTAGCGTATTCATTAAGACACTCAAAACTTAATTTTATTATTATTCATATGATTTTCAATGCTGTAACTAGCCTTATTAAGACATTATTTAATTATTGTTGACAACAGTTAAAAAGTTGCAAGTGCTGCAGATTGTTTATAAAAATACTATGAATATAAGTAAATAAATTATTATTTACAATAAATAAACTAAAACTAGTCAAACTAAAGATAAAACAAATAATAAAAAATTAAATGTAGTCCAATTAAATCTTGAATAAAGCCATTTCAGATCCAAACCGTTATCTGCGATCTGCTGGCGAGTAATAAATAATAATAGAGCGTAATGATTGCCGTCTCTTTCTGGCATGCAGATCACGCCGAGAAGCTTAATTTCATTTCGTTCATTTGGCCCACAAAATCAATTAAAAGCGCAATTAATTTGTTTGACAGCTAAAGAAAACAGACGCCAGACTTTTGAGTAAAAGCTCAGCAAGAGAGCTGGTAGAGATGGGGAGGGGGAGAGGGGGAGAGCAGAGAGGAGAGAGAGAGAGAGGAGAATTAAATGGCGCATAGATAGACAAATGAAACGGACGAGCGATGAGCACATAAAGAATAAACAATAACAACAGAAAACTGAAACAGAAACGAAAGCTCAGCCGGCAGCAGCAGTCAGTCGTAATAATAAAAGTAATTTAATTTTAATGAAATTGTTAATACGAAAACAATTTCATTTTGTAAAAAGTTTCCCAGCAGCAGCAGCAGCAGCAATGGGTGTGGAAGAGAGTGACTGGATGGATGGGCGGGGGCAGGCAGCGTAAATTGCTTGTGACAATGAGTGAGTGCAAAAGGAATATAAAAACCACACACACACACACACGCACACAAGCAGAAAAACAATAAACAAAAGCATGCGAAAAAGAGAAAACCAAAGCCAACAACAACAGCAGCAGCAGCAGCAGCGACGGCAGCAGCAGCAGCAAAAAAAGGAACGAAAACAAAAGCATAGCACAGCGAAAATGCCGTCGGATAGCAGCAAATAGCAGCAACAACATGAACAACAACAACAACAGCTGCACAGCCAAACGGAAGAAGAAGAAGGAGCAAATACGAAAAATGAAATGCTGATGCGAAGATTTAATAAATGAAATTGGTGTGTGATTAAAAACACAAAAACCAAACGAAATCCATCTAATCAACTTTTGCTGCCGCCATCGTCGTACTCTGCCACACGCCCCCAAAGTCCCACCCTCCCCTCACCTAACAGCTCAGTCGTCCTGCTGCCAAACCACAAGAGCGACGGCGACAGCAGCTGCAGCAGAGACAGCAGCAGCAGCAGAGAGAGCAGCAGCAGCAGCGGCGCAGTTAGTGGGTGGGGAACGCCTCTTAGCAGGTGGTTGAGAATATGGGGAAATATTGTGAAATGCAGGGAATACTTGCTTATCAAGATCTTGTCAAATTAACCAGAAATGATAAGGAAAATAAATAAATATTATTTAAAACCACTTGGATTGAGAGAAATTTCTTTCTCAATTCACAAATAATGCCTTGTTTTCTATGCAATTAATTTAAAATAACTTATTGTAATTGGTTATATTTTTTTTATACAAATTATTTCTTTGAATACCAATTTAGTGATGATATTTTAGCGTTCATTTTCAATACTTTATGGTTGCTCCAAGATATAAAAAATTGAAATATTTTATTGAAAACACAACTTTTTGTATTTGGGGACTTGTAATAAATAATATCCCGTTTGCGCTGCCTTTTCCCACTTTTAAATTTCCTTTCTTGACTCCGCCCCGAACTATGTGCATAAAATGGCTGTGTTGCTGCATCTCGTTTGCGCGTTAGCACAACGCCAATGCACCTCAAGTTTTGCGCTAGGGAGCAAAAGAGAGGCAATCAGCGAGAAAGCTAGAAATTGCATAGCTAACCAGCTGCTGTCAGTGAGCAATAAATTTCCCGCATTGGTACTTATCTTATATAGTCCAGTTCCAAACCAACACGCTGTGCTTTTTGCTTGGTTTGTGCGCTTGCTAAAAATGATATTTCCTGCTGTGCTTAAAAGCTCGTTCCGCTCTCGTGTCTGATAACTGTTAAATGAATCTCTAATTTTAGATAACATTTAAATATGAATTTAAACAAACGCGACAATTTAATCCTTATCAAATTGCAAATCTCTTCAGTTTGCATGCAACTAATGAAGAAATAACTCATATCCTGTACTGAATTGACTAAATTGGTTATAGTTTTTCTTTTTTTAATAATTTGGATTGTCTATAATTAAAATCGTTATATTTAGATATATTGTCTGTATATCAGATTCTCAATGTGTACTTGACCCAATAGTGGGAAATTTTCGTTAAAATTAATTGCTTTAGTGCCCATTAAATGCTGTAATTACTTCGTTCCACTTGATTCCACTTGATTTCAATCACAAAACTCCCGCCCCATTCTCAATGCATTCCAAACTGCTCTCAAAGATCAACACACACAAAACAACTACCTGTCTCTCTCAATCAGCCTCGCTCCCTGCAACTCTCATTGATTGTTGTTAAACGCAACGCAGAGAGAGCGAAGTGAGAGCGAGAGCATTTTTTACTCGTTCTTATGGCTGGTGCTCAAGCAACTGTTGGCGCTGTGCTTGGCGCTCAGTTTGTGTCTCGCTTCCGCAGCGTTCGTTTCGCAGTCGCCTGTTCGTTTTTTTCATATTGCTGCTTTCGTTGTTGTTTTCAGTCTCGAACGATCTAAATTCTCAATTCCCTTAGTCAACGTTCTATTTTCCATATGTGCAACTATTTAGCATAAAACGTAAATGTTTAATACGATAACCATAATATAAATGCCCAAATTCAGTGTGATTAAATGCAACTAAAACTATCAATTGAGTAAAATACAAAAAAAAAAATAAATAACAAAAAAAATAATCATTGGCAGCTGAAAAATGCACTTGTCAACCTCGCGTTGCATGCGAAGAAGAGCGATAGAGAGAGAGAGAGAGAGGGAGATGGAGCGGGAGAAAGAGTGTGAAGGAGAGCGCACGCTCGTTTGACATTTTAGTTAGTCGCTTGCAGCAAGCAACAACAACAACCACAAACACAATGCACGTTTTTTTTAATTTATAGCGGAAAATTAGTAAATGAGACGTTTTGTTAGCTTTATTGTTGCGTGTAAAAAATGTCTTTCAATTTGTTTGCCTCTCCCTCCCTCTCTCTCTCTCTTTCTCTCTCGCTTGTCAGTGACACATTTAATGCGTTGATTTGTTGTACGTCATTTTTTGCGAATGAAAATCAAAAGCTTTGTTTTTAAAGCAGCTTACAAACTGTATTTCTCTCTCCCTATCTCGCTCTCTCTGCATATCTCCCCTGCCCGCTCGCTCGTATTAGAGCAGCAGCCCACGCAGCTGCTAGCTGTAAAAATTTTGCGTCGCATTTTCTTTGCAAATCATTTTCCATTTTCCATTTGTGCTTCACAGCTGCTTCTCTCATTCTTCTTCTTCTTGTTCTTGTTGGGCTTTTGTAGTTTTCTGTGTTGTTTGGCCCAACACACATTTTTTTCCGTTTCGTGTCGTTTCTCGTCTCGTTTTGTGTTGTTGTTGTTGTTGGCGCTGCTCGCGCGTTTCTATTTTTAGCAATAAATTTTTTTGTATTTATTTTTTGTTGTTGTTGCCTTTGCCTGTCAAGTTAACTACGCTACGCTGGCAGCCGCAGCAGACAGACCAACTATGCGAGAGAGAGAGATAGAGAGAGAGCGTAAGCATGGCGCTCAGGTGATAACAAAAAGCAGAGAGCGAGAGAGCGCGCAAGGCTATACAACTTGTTGCTCTCTTCTTATTGTTGTTGTTTTCTTTCTTTGCCTACGTCAATTTGCTAAGCTTAAATTCAACTTACGCACAAAGCATAAGAAGTAATCCAAAACAACAACAACAACAATAACAGTGACAAAAATTTAAAAAGTGCAGCGACGCTGACGTTCACGTCGTCGCCTGCATGTGTGTGCCTTAATTTTGTGCTTCCTGTGGAGAACAGACAACAAGCAGTGGCAATAAAATATATACATACATATATATACATAAAAATAAAAGCAACAAGTGGAAATAATAACAACAGCTTTCTTTAAAAGCCGGCTGCGCAGCGTCATCAAGAAGAAGCAGCAGCAGCAGCAGCAGAAGAGCTTGCGCGTGAGAGAGGAAAAAAAGAGAGGCGCGTGAGTGAGAGTGTACTCCAACAACAACAACAATCAACAATTACTCTCTCTTTGGAATTTTCAACAAGTTGTCAAAATGTGAGTATTAATATGCAATTATTGTTTACAGTTGTAATGTGTGTGTGTGCGTGTTTGTGTGTGTGTGTGATGTGGACAATACGCCTACGATTCGCGATTTCACAATCGAGTGGAAAGTCAACGAAGGCAAGGCTATCGCCATTTTGAGCGCCCTTAAGCCATAAACTCATATCTGTGTATGTGTGTGTGTTGGTGTGTGTGTGTGTGCCCTTGTGCCTGCATTGAATAATTAATGAAGAAGCTCAGCGGGTCTGAAGCCCTTCTTGCTCTGCTTCTTCCTCTTACTGCTGCTCTTGTTGTTGTTGTTGGAGTAGTTGTTGTTCTTGCTGTTGTTGCATTGCTTGCATATTCATTCCTTCGCACTCCAACACAAAGCGAGCGCCTGTAGTTGTTGTTTTTGTTGTCTGCCATCTATTTTTAGACCTTTGTCATAAAGTTTAGCAAACAAACGACGGGCGCAAAAAATAAAATACTTAACGAAAACAAAAGCAAAACCAATACAAAATAGCTGACAATTTGGTTTGAGCATTTTGCGACGCTCCGTCGACGTCGACGTCGTTTTACAACTGCGCAGCTCTTTAAACAACAAACAAAAAGCAAATACAACTGTAACTGTATCTGTAACTGTAAGTTATCTTCTGATTACAGCCACTTGTGGAAATTACCAATTGAATAACGGTTAATGTTACAAACAACATCAAATAAAAAGCAAATGATATTGTTAGCAGCTGAGCCAATAAAAAACAAGACTGCGATCAGTTTTTATTGCAGTTATTTGGTTTATCTTGCATTGATTGGCTGCTTTTTGATAACATTATGTTTCATCTTAATAGGATTTTTTTAAATAATAAATCGAATTTTAGATCCACTTCGTGGTAATTTCTTCTGATATGTGAAAAATACCATTTCTTATCAATAAGCGAAAGAAAAATACTTTCAATTACCATTTACATTCGATGAATACTCAAAAAAAAAAAAACAACAACAAAAATTGCATAAGCCTCAACAAAAAACAATCGTTTTCATAAAATAATTTATTCTGTTAATTATGTAATCAGCTCAGCTTGTGGCCTGACTTGAATTTGAATTAGCAATCTAATCGGCTCTAAATATAGCACATATATGCACTATATACCCTTCCAAATATCTGCATGTCTAAATATGTACATTTGAATATATAAATATATATATGTATATATATTCGTATATTAGATAAGCATGGGCAGAAGGGTATACGAAAAGAAACTTTCATGGCGAGCAGGCGAATCTTATCAAAATAAACAATCGCATGATTTTTGTACAACTGAAAAGTTTGTGAACAATTTTGCGCGATATCAATATATGTATATTTATTTGCTTTTCCCTCACTCATTCATTTGCATAAGAAAAACGTCAGCGGAAATTGTGAGCGAAAGCCAAAAACCAAATTTAAACAAACTCAAAGATAAGGTGAACAATATAAGAATTCTAATAATATATATTTTTTAAATATATTATTTAATTGAACGTACTCGAACTAACTTATTTAGCTCTTATCGACTCGGAAATAATATCCCAAGGTATAATAATAAATTAATTAACTAATAATTAATTTGAGTCGAACAATGTTTAATAACTGTATATATATATGTAATATATTTTCTTATCTCCTCGGATGTAATATCCAAAGGTATAATTATTAATTTAGTAGCCTCTAAACTTATCAAATTTAAAATATATTTAAACATTTTTGAATTCATATTTTTCGTTCTTACTTGAAGTTCACTAATCCACTCAAATATAATATCCATAATAATTGATTTTCTAAACTTTTAATATTTTCTACAAAACTGTTCTGAAACAAATTACAAAATCGAAACAGAAATGTTAAAAAATATATCAAAACAGTTTTTTGTTGTTGCTAAGCAAAATAGAAAAGCGGCCGCATTTTTTACGGTTAGTTTGGATTCCTCAATTTTAATTTGGGTCTTCTAGCGAGGCAGCCGCGCCCCTCTCTGTTAACCCATTGCAAGCACATTTTTCCCGTGTCACAAGATGCCTCTCCCTCTCTCTTCCTCCCTCTGCCACTCTCTATCTCTCTCTCTCTCTCTCGCTCATTCGTTGCGCTTGTATAAGCGGCATATCAAATTCATGCCGAAATGACAAGTTTTTTTTTACAAACTAGCTGCTGGCGTCGCTGCTAGCGTTTGCTGCTTGTTTACGTTTACAACTGGCAGGTCGCCTTTTTTCCAACGAAGAGCGGCCCGGGAAGAGCGCGAGAGAGAGCGAAGGTGATGCTGTAAACAAAATGTCAAAACTTTCGTTGTGGAATGTGGCCAGATCTGCGCTGCGTGTGTGGCGAAAGAGAGCGAGCGAGAGAGCGAGAGAGAGCTGATCATTTAAGAGAGTGTGCGTAAGAGAGTGCATACGTAAAGCGCATCGCAACGTGCTCGTTGCAACTCTTGCAACGTTATGTGAAACAGCTGTTGGTTTTGTCTGGTATTAATTTGTATTTGTTAATGAGCCACATTGAGCATGGCCCCGTACAAATATAACTCTCTTAAGTTGTTAAATTTTATTTTGTCATTTGCTTGTTTTTTTCTTTTTGTTTACGTTTACAAAAATGTTTTGCTTACGCTTGATAAATTGCATATCGATGAGCGCTTTGCGCAGAAGCTTTTGCGGAATAAGCTCAGCCGCTGCTCAAAGCTTGCCGCTTACTTTTGAAAGCTCTCTGCTGCTATTCAGCTATGCTAACGGAAATGTGAAGAGAAAAAGCTCTGCATTTAAATGAATCGAGTTGAGAAATATGTTTTTTTGATAGCATCGAATTGGAATATATATTTACTATTTATTTACACTCCTTGATATGATTATTTGGTTATTTATCTGTCTGGTATTATTAAAAGTATTATCTATTTTTACGACTGCATCGTTTTATTTGTTGTTGTTATCGTTGCCGCCTAAATAACCTTTCGATTACGCCAATTAAATAAACTATTTACATACAGACCTATAATTACATAAGCTAGCTCGCTTACATACAAACTCACGTCAGCTTATCAATGCCGCCAATGCCAACAAATTAACGACAAACAACAACAAACAACAGACAACATCAACATATGTGGAAATCGTGTCTTTCCCAGCAGCGATCATCTGCCCAACCCCTAAAACCCAACCTAACCTCAAATAAACACGTCGCGTGTCCCGTCAATTGTACGACGTAAAACTCGCAAGCTTTGACAATGTAAATGGAGACTTAAATGAATAATACTTTTTAATATGCTTAAATACACACGAATTGAAATACTGTTTGTTGATAAGGTCTCAATATGAGGGTCGATCAGCTGTTAAAACAAATTCAAGAAAAAAACATATTGAATTTTCTACTTATTATATTGTAATATTTATAAATTTCCTATTTATATATCCCTCATTTATCAATTGAGTACTTCTTGAGGAACCCGCGCTGTCATTACTGTCCCGTTGGCCAGTTGCACGAGTTTTGAGCGAGTCATTTTGTTTACATGCGCAGTAATATTGTTTATAATAAATAAATCACTTTTCCTAAATGACATGCACTGAAAACAAGCCTCTGCAATTACACAACTAAAGAATCGACAATCGCAGACAATTGGCTCTGACGAAATTCGCATAACATATATATCTATATGAATTGCATATATGTATATATCACAGCAATTGGTATGATTTATGGGATTTGAATTGCATTCGGAAAACATTTGGTAGCCAGTTTGAGGAGTGGTTTATGGTCAGTTGACAGCACTTAAGACTTCATTTGAGTCAAACGATATGCAACTGAATATGTCCAAAGTAATTGAAAATAGACTAATGCGATATTAATCAATAAGTTATGCGATTAACTTGGCATTGATAACGCTGCGTATTCGTAATCTATGAGGGATTTAGAAATTTTTTTTTTGCCAGTATAGTTGATTTATATACATGTTAAGACTATTCAGGCTTAAGGCGAACAATCATAGTATTCTTATAGTTATTAGTTTGGTTTATTACGTATACGTAGACAAGCAACAAATTTAAGGGAAGTTAAACAAAACATTTTAATCTTGAATTGTTAATTCTACTTAATTTATCTTTGTCATTGTCGGGTTTTTTCTTGTTTTTTTATCTGCTTAGACTATTCTTTATTTGACGACTTCTCTCCCTGTCTTAAAGAAAGAATTAAGATATTCGCCTCACATCCTCTAAATAACGAGCATGTCAAGTGGATTGCTCTGATCCCCAAGCGACTCATAAATATGCATGCAACACCAAATCCAATCCAAGTCCAAAGCTGGTTGACCAGCTTGCAATACGTGCCTGGAAGTGGATGTGGATGTGATGTGGTGCCTGATACCCGTGCCACAAACGACTTGCAACGGTGCATGATAGACTTATGAGTTTGGTTTAAAACTAAACAAACGTCTATTGAGATCTAACAAAAATTCTAAATATATCAGTAGGATTTCATTTTATTCTTGCTATATCTTTATGGAGGAAAAGTTGAGGGAGATTGTCTAGCAATGGGAACACCTCAAATAATTCGAAAGCCCTTTTTAACGACACCACAGCCCAAAAGTATGCAATAAGAAAAACTCTGCTCGAAGGGACTTTTACAACCTGTTCAAAATAATAATAAATAAAAAATAAGTATATATATAGCCAACAATATATCTTAGTGAGTTGCAGTAGTGTCAAAGCAACATTGTTGTTTCCCGTTCGCTATAATCGAATGTGTCGTTAATTGTTTTAAGGCTTCAGGGCAGGGGTATTAAAAAGTCAGTGAATCATTTCACAAGACACGTCCATACTTGTTTTGTTGTCTTTCTTGTTGCTATTGCTGTTGTTGTTGTTGTTGTTGTAGCATGCAAGCGAGCAATTAGATCGCATGCGTGTCTATGTGTGTGTGTGTGTGTGCGTGTGTGTATTGTTGTAACAAGCATTCTATTAAAACGAATCGAACCAACGCACGAATCACAGCAAAGACGCAAAGGCGT